GGGGGGGGGGGGGGGGGGGGGGGCAACCTGTTGATTTCGTGACTGTGTCTCCAAAGCGAGGAAAAAGAAACTGGTGGATGTATACAACCCAGCTTTAGGCTTGGGTGGGGATGTGTTGTATCCGTTAATGTTTTCTTCTTCTTCTTCTTCGTCTTCTTCTTTTTCTCCTTCTTCTTCTTCTTCTACTTCTTCTTCTTATTATTATTTTTCTTCTTCTTTCTTTTCTTTCCAAGTCGCAGGCGCCCTGCCACGAATTCGTAACTGTTGCTCCAAAGCGAGGAAAATCGTGAATCTATACAACCCAGCTTTGGGGTTGGCTGGGGATGTGTTGTATTCGAGGGGGTGTCTCTGCGTATATGTGCATATGTAAACATGTACGAAGTGTCTACTTGAATGTAAGTATGTTTGTGGTGCCAAGTTTGCCTATTCAACCCCTTCCTCACACTACGACTTACTCGGTAGACTACTGCGTGCCATAATAGGGTCAAACGTTACTGAATAACACCATTCTACCCCGCAGTAGTCAACCTCTCCCTCTCTCTCTCTCTCTCTATCTCTATCTATCTATCTATCTATCTATCTATCTATCTATCTATATATCTATATATCTATCTATTTATCTATCTATCTATCTCTCTGTATGTGTCTTTCTTTCCGCCTTTTCCAGATATCAAGAATGTGGAAAGTCGGAGACAAACAAAAGGCACGAAGAGATAGAGTGCGAACGATTTCCAGATCTATATGCACCGTGGGGGGCAAAGATGAAACACAGGCTTTAATCAATGAGAGTTGGGCTGAGATAGTTGAAAAGCAGCAAGAAGTTATAGATAAACTGACAGTTGAGGTAATCGAGCAGAAACAGTTGGTCACCCAGGCGCAAGACGAGATAGCCCGTGTGGAACTTGCACTCGCGGAAATGACAGAAAGTGCGGAACATAGATTGTATAGCATATTTTGGTTGTTGTTGCCCGATCCGAAGTCTCTGGTGACGGATCTGAAGAAGGTCATGACCAAAGAACTCCAAAAAATAGCTAAGGAGAAGAAGGCCACGTTTGACGAGTACCAGAATATGGTTGCTGATCTTAAATTCTATCGGAAAACCCTTCTTCTTAACACGGATACTGCATTCGGTGCCAGAGCACAAAACGCTTGTGAATGGGATGTCACATGTTGTTCCTCTGCGGACAAATGTGTGGTCAGGGAAGGGTGGGCGTCTTACGATAGTGAGGAACTGAACAGCGGTCCGTTGACAGCCTCGTCGAAAAGACTTGTAGACCTCTTGTCTTTCGCCGAGGACTGCATCCGTCATTGCACGGAGACCATAAAGCACTACACTCTTAACCATCGCCTGCAGACAAATGGTGCACATATGGGATGCGATGGCCTTAATGAGAACTTCAGGTCTCTGCTCAACAGCTGCGCCGATATTGTATGTTCTCTTCAGTACACCAGAGGTCGCCTGGCATCGGGACAATTGTCTGTAATGTCGAACCCCGTAGAAACCATGAAAACATACAATGCGCATGTCGCGAATGCAAGTCGGGAAGATGATCTCAATATGCGGATATGCGATAGCAACACAGGTCGAAGTGTCTGTGAGCCAGCGGCACACTTGTTGCTAGACTGCAAAAATATCAAATTTTTTCAACGTCATGAAATTCGACACAATTTCCCTTGCCTCCTCGCCAGCAAAGCACCGTTGACAAGCAATGAAGAGTCTTCAGTACCTACGACCACGGAAATATTTGAACAGTTCGTGTCAAGTGTGAATAAACGAGAAATGGCAAGGCTCGTGGCGGACTGTATATCCCATCTCATTTCTTTTGCAAAAGAGACGATGTCGAAGGTCGTAGCAAACGCAAAGCGTCGTGCGGAGGACACTCTATAAGAGGTGTAAAGTCGTGGTTGAACGTCTCGTTAAAGAAGTTTGATATACCTCTCTCTCTCTCTCTCTCTCTCTCTCTCTCTCTCTCTCTCTCTCTCATATGCATATATGTATACATGTATGAAGTGTCTGCTTTAATGTCATTATGTTTTTGTCGCCAAGTTCACATATTCAACCCCTGTCTCAGCCTACGAATGACTCGGTTGACTACTACGTGCCATAACAGTGTTAAACGTCACTCAATAACGTCGTTCTGACCCGCAGTAGCCAACCTCTCTCTCTCTCTCTCTCTCTCTCTCTCTCTCTCTCTCTCTCTCTCTCTCTCTCTCTCTCTCTCTC